GTGAATTGATCGTTCAACCTTCAACTACATTGACATATCTTCTAGAGATCTTTGTCTCTCAACTACAGGCAGTCGGAACGGACGAGGATGTTAAATCGAGTGAGGATCGGGAAGGCAAACGAGAAACACATTATTCATCAACCTGAAACCAGTCTGGAAATCTTCGTCACTCAACTCACCATCAACAACAAAATCCAGTCGGATTTTCAATACAAACAACGTCAAGTCAGTCAGTTCTTCTATACGGATCAGAAACTTGGCGCTTGGCGGGTCACAAAGAATATTTCCAACAGCCTGTTGCAGACGTTACCTTTATCAATAACTAACTGTCTTCGTCCTACACTGAAGATCAATCAGATGGCCGGGCCGGAAAGATTCACCAACAAGAAACTATGGGAACAAACAAAATAACAACCAATCACCCAACCAACAAATATGCAGGAGAAAGTGGAGATGGATTGGACACTCGCTGAGTGAGGAGGCCGCTGAGTTGCATCGTGCGTGCGTTAGACCATTGCTCGAGTGGAACCAGACCGAAAGGGAAGCGGCGAGTGGGACGTCGGTGCAAGGGTGACATGGAGGAGATCGTGTGAAGAGGAGGAGTTGAAACAGTATGGACTAACAGGGATGCAGGTGAAAAGTACAGCAGAAGGAAGACAGAAGTGGCAAGTAGAGACGTGCAGTTGAAGCCCTATGTTCCACTAGGAACTCAAGGGAGCAATAATAATATGATAAATTGCTATGTGGCTACGCTTGGGTGGTCAGATAAAACGTGTGTTTGTTAGTCATCTATATTCTAAGATACAATGACATTAGCGTGTCACCGTTCCGAATTGAGGATATAGATGATAGAAGGAGGTCCGGAAATGAACTCTGCGACGATTTTTCAGCCTAGGGCATCAACCTGAAAAGGGTTGTAGGCGTGCTGCTGTAAGTCCTACAATTCTTGAAAGGGTAGCGCATCAATGAGCAGTACAATGTGCCTGGTGTGTGATTTTGTACATATGTTCATATTGTATATACTGAATTGATATCATCTGTCATCTGTCTGTTGATAATTTTGTTTGTGTCCGGACGTCTTCCACTTGTATCATCAACCTGATAAGGAATGTAGGCGCACTGCTGTAAGTCCTACAGTTCTTCAAGGGTAGTTCGTCAGGGCAGAATCCACAACATTTGGTGTATTGATTGTACATATGTTTGTGTTAAATAATTGTGTGAGTTCCAATTATTGTAATCGTTGGTTAATCTTGTTTGTGTCCGGACATTCCACAAATTACAATCGTCAAACTGTGAAGGGTGGTAGGCGTACTGGTGTAAGCCCTGCAATTCTTCAAAGGAATTCCATCGAGACACGATCTGCGTGCTTGTGTGTACTGTTTGTATATATGTGTGGTGTGTCATATCAATTGGTGTCTTTTTTGGATTCATTGTGTTTACTCGTTGTTTCCGTACCTTGTTGTTATTGCGTAATTTTGTTAAAATTTTCGTCGTGATTACTTTTGAAGTTGCTTGGAGTCTCCTACATCCGTGAATGAATTGATTGATGTTAGAGACAGCAGATGGGTCGTGTACGCCGGGGAGGCTATTGCTGAGAATCACATGCACACGGAGATAATCGTCAGCTGTGGTCCCACACGCCAGGAAGTGACAGTGTAGACGACCGAGGCTTGCATACGTCACCGTTACTAGAACTAAGGCAGAATGAGTGACAAGTGGTTGCGGTGGTAATTGGTAGTGAGCAGATAAGAGGATGTGCGTAGAGTACCATGAGGTGCTGCTATGGTCACGTTGTGTTATGCAGGAGTCATTCTAGCAAGTGGCGATTGTGTTACAAGATGTCAAGAGGATACCTTTAACTGGAAGGCGCAGGTCGCCATTGATGTGTGAGATTGTGCTGTGGGTATGCTTGTGGTGTGTTGGCTTTTCTGTTTGTTTTCCATTTCAGCTCTGTCCGTGTGACCCAGGTTCTCGCAATGGCATCCAAGACAACGTGTATTGGTCGTGAAGAAAAAAAAGGGATGGATCCCTTTTTTGCCGGGGAGTGTCAATGCAGTTGAAGATTGAACGATCAATTCACGGTTGTTTGCTCAAACCCAACTTCCCTATATTTTCTCGGAGTCGTTAATACGACAGTCATCTTCTCATCGTTCGCTGTTCGTCAGAAGACGGAGGAATACCATCAGAAATATTACTGTGACTAATTGTTATAACGTTTATTCCTAGACCCCGGTATCTGACAACCAAGCGTAGGCACATAGCTTTTTACGCCAACGATAATAAAATTTGAATAGGAACTTGGAACTTCCAAGGTCCTTACCTATATGTGCATGTTAATTTGACAATTACTCTCTCATACACAGCTGGCTTATCCTCACTAAACTGACCACTGTTATTCGTCCTTTCAAACGGACCTATACTAGCATAGTCATAGCATAAGGCACGTGAGTTCATGGACGTCCCTTTCATTAGGGATGACAACAACGACGACTAAGTGACACAGGTTGATGATCATAGCAGTGCATCAGAAGCTGTCGTTTTTCGGCTTTTAGAAGGTTGTCTAACCGTAGGATTACCGCCACTGCTATCTTTTATGATTAGCTCCAGTTCTGCTTTAACATCTGTTGATAAGTAGGCTACATGCTGATCGCATACACTGAAGGTCTCGTGAGTATCCATGCCTTCTACCACCGCATTTGTTTTTAATTCTACTTCACGTTTAAGGTGTACAGAAATTTTGTTCAACAAAGCAGTAGTAGGCATTCCACTGGTCTCATCATGATCAACCAAAGAAAAAAGTGCACTATCATGATCATTATCACAAATATCCACTTTACCGTTATCTATCTGGTCAACTTCATTTTCAAACTCTTTAATAACAGCTGTAGATGATTTGGGCTCCACCTCATAAATCCTTTAAGGTTTTATACCTTCACTCTGACTAGTAATACCTTGTAAACTTGTGGAGTCAGAACTGGACTCTGAAGCTGTAACTCTCTTCTCCTGCACAAACTGCGGTGTCGTCTGTAACACTCTATTCAACAATGACTTACCAGTTGTTACCAGTTGCAACTACAGGCTTCTTCACTGCACCATTATAGTCAAACAATTCGGAGTCAGACTCTGATGACTCTGATTCCACATTTAGCTTGCCACTAAACTTGGTCACTTCTTCACAGTTCGTCTTTGTGTACACTTCTTGCAAACGTGTAAAACACAACCGTGTTTGTCTCGCCACTTGTAAGCCATCTGTTGAGGATGTCTCACGAAAGCTGTTACACTCACTAAGTTTATGTGGATTACTAGACACCATACAGCTTTCTCAATATCCGCTTCTCTGTAACCCTTTCGTCATAATTGACTGCGCTTCGCTCTCTGGCTTCTCTATTCTGGAGGTACGATGCAATATACTGGCAAACATGCTCATCGATTGATTGATACTATCTTTTACCAGTTTCGGAATATCATCGAACCTTGGCTCAATACCTTCATCCTCTATACGAGAGCTTATCTTCATCCACTCCCTTTGCAGTCGAGTAGGTAAGCGCCTCGCTATTACCTCTAGGACGGAACTTGAGTTGAGATAGGACATGTAATTCACCGAAATCAACGTATTTTCGGGGGTTATCGGGTGATCCAGAATCTCAGAGCTTTCCTTGTAGTAATCTTGTTTATGACTTCCATAACCTTTAACAGCCTCGAATACCTTCCTTACAGTCATCGAGTATCTTCCAAACCTCTGACGCCGGATACTCATAGCCTCATGTTATCCTTGTTTTGGCTTCATGAACTTACAGCACTGCATAGCTGTTGAAGAATCTCCAGTGCAAAATCGCAAGAAGTATATCAACTTCGTTTCATCATTTAATAAAATCCACTTAACATGATGTCAAACTCTTTGATAAGCTGTGGATATTCGGTTGGGTTTCCGTCGGAGTACCGAGGCTCATATTTAGGTGATTTAAAGTCCCTATTATCCCTAGACGACGAAACATTGACATCAACTTTATCATGCTTAACATCACACACATCATTACATGTAACAGAGAAATCAACATTACTTACTTTCCTGCTTGCTTTCAAGACGCTTTGTCCCTTCTTTGACCCAGGCATCGTTGAACTTGACCAAACGCTTCAGAAAAGTTCCAGATAATACTCAAAGAAGACATGCAGGCACCAGCTGCACATCTAGTCATAGTTAGATAAAGAATGACAACAGAAAGTTATATTGTATGTAGCAGGACAACTGGTTTACGGAACTGTGCAAACCATGGAACCTTGAGTATAAGATCAAAGTCATAGTGAAGCAGTCTTTTCACAATAAAAATTCAACTCCATATTCAGGACTAGCCCCTTCTGTACTCGTAGAATCTTATGAACAGTAGCAAATCATTTAAATAAAGTTGAAGAGCAAAGAAACAGTTTGTAACTAAGATATTTACCATCCACCCTCGACCTCAGGAATCACCAGTAGCCATATATATAGACTCTCTGTCCTGCTAATTACATCCCTTGTTTTGTTATTGTCATTCATATTTATTTGTTTCACTTCACTCACTCCATTCTTTTAATCATGAATGCTTTCTGCCTCTCCTCCTGTTCTGGAACTGTCCACATGCTAACATCTCTTGTCTTATGACATTAATCTCTTCCAGCATCTAACGCAGACAAGTAACACAAGAAGATATTTGATTTTATCATTTTATTTCATCCTCCTTTTACTTTCCAAATTCACCTTGTCCCCATCTAGTAATTATTAGTCCTTCAGAAATTATCGAGCTAACGAAATTAGTAGAGCTGAACTTAAATGACCAGGTCTCAGGCATGAGGCCGAAGGGCTTACAAATTTTAAATTTTCAAACTTTTCTAGTGGCATTTAGATGTCTAAGTCAGCTCAAAGATTCCAAGTGACTTATACTGTTTCGTAAAATGGACATTGAACGTTGGTCGTGTTGTTAAGTCAAGTGGCCTTAAGTACACGCTTAGCTGTTGGTTAGGTGATGACGGCGGTGGAAAGCAGTCAGAGGATAGAGGATGATAAGGAAAAGGAGGAGGAGATACAACTAAATCCACTGCAAGACACGTAATTCTGTGATATCTTTGCTAATCTGTTTCTTAGGTGGTCATATTACTTGTTTATATGCAATAAATCCTTAATTTGGGAAGAATGTACGGAGAAAGTGGCCACATTTAGCACCATTGAGCATTTCTGGAGTGTACTGTCTCATACAGTCAGGCCTTCTAAAATGGTTAATGGCAACGATCTGTACATGTTCAAGTGTGATATCAAACCAAAATGGGAAGACCCGAAGAATGAGAATGGCGGACGCTGGTTGATCAATATTTCTCAGCAACATAATGTTGATTTGTAAGTCATATATTTTCTGATGTATTTCGTTTTACTGCTCTCATTTACTGTCATTTGTTACTTCTCACGATGTGCATAAGGTGCCACTTTAGGTCACTTATATTGTATGAGCATAGAAGTATTTAATAACTTGTGAACTGGACTATTAAGCACGCATAAATTTTGAGGCTGCACGTTTGGCTTGGTGGTTGTTCTACAGGGTGTGTGAGATAAGCAGGTAGTGCTCGAGTTCCTTGAGTTGAAAAGCTTGTTTATTCGGTTGGGATACTTTCCTTGCATGAAGTAACCTCGCCCAGCAATACCGTGTCATCTGCCACTAACTATGAGGTTTTCTTATTTGTAGATGGCATATTTGTACGTATTAATGTCAATTCTCATTAATACTAAATGTTATTGGCATACTTATGTATAAACGCATTCTTGAAAATTACTAAAAATTATGCGTGTTTTAGTCTGCATATCGATTATATTAAGTTTTCTAAGTTGCTGAAACTCAAAACTGAGTTCTTGCATATATAGTTGGGAATTACTGTGTACTGTATCTGTAGACGCGGCAAATAAGTGTTGTGTTTGAAGCTGGTATTCATACACTTTGGCATCTTGATTTAGTAGTATCTTTCTCTGTAGGAATGATCATTCTTTACGTTCATTACTTCGTAATTTAGCTGGCCGTGAGATGAAGTGCAAGTGAGTAGATTATTTCTCATTTTTCGGTGTTATAAAGCTCACCAACAAAAGTTTGGATGACTTACATTACTTACTTATTGGTATTTAATTAGCTGAAGACTGGAACTCACAGAAAAGAAGTATCACATTAGTGAAAGCTCAGTAGACTCTATTTAGTACTTGAGCTCAGGACTTGTTGTAATTCAGATTGGCGTCCTTATTGCTTTCTGGGTGAAAGTTAAGTTTAGATTGTGTATCTACAGGTATTTCTAAGCAGCATTCGTGATACCTACGTTGGTTCATTAATTTGCTCCTTGGTTGGCAGGTCCTTTCGGTAAGGATCACTTCATCAGGCACTGGCTGACTAGTTTCATCATAGAGCTTTGTACAGATATGCAACATTTGAGTTGTCACACTCCATGTAGTACACAAAGGAACAGAAGAGAATAAAGAGAGATAATAAATAGAAGTGTCAATGAGGCTTAAGGAAGAGTAATAGAATTTCATCGGGTATTATAAATCACAAAGAGTGAATGCGCCTGCTCCATCACTGAGAATGACTTTTAGCCATATCACCAATTGTCTCCAGCCCTCATTGATTCTTACCATCCAGAGGACACCAACCAAGAAGTCTACACCTGACTTGGCTGGCTTAAACCGACTGTTTTGGGTTTCACTGACTGAGGCTATGATTGGTTTGACCATCACTAGCTAGTTCTTTTCCACCCTGATCCATCCTATGTCAGCCAACACCGCCCATTGTCGAGGAAAGTGATCGGTGGCTAGAAATACATGCGTAACACATGTCCTAACCATCTCAATCGGTGTAAATTCACAACGTCGTCGATTGATTTCCGTACCCTACCTAAGAGTAGAAATCATTAATTTATTCCGTGCAGACAGGACTCATTAGTGTTAGCACTTCACTTTTGGCCAGTGAATCTTGGATTCCATTCCTCTTCTGCCTAATTCAGGCTTGGCAACTAAATAGTGTCACCAGTATTCAAATTTTATGTGACACGCCAAAAATCTGTGCCAGATAACTGAGTGCTAACATAAACCTATCTATCTATCTATGTAAGTTCGATATTAAATAGCATGAGTATTCCTTCATTCGGAAGTAAGCAAAGTTAGTAGGAGAGAGGGCATCATTCATCTTATTTCTACATAGTTGTTCACGGAATCCCGAATTAAAGTCATTCTACTTTCGCTCAGATTTATTCACATAAATTTTAATAATCTGACTGGATTTGATTGTGAATTTCAACAAAAGTCATTCATTCTCTCGTAGTTCCCGTTGATTTCGAATAAGGCCTTGAAAATAACATTTTACTACGACAGTTCATTTCTATGCCAAACATTATTATATATATTATTATTATATCCTGTAATTCTTGGAGGAACATAGGGCTTCAGCTGCGCATCTCCATTGCCTTCGGTTTTCTGCCAACTTTTTCACCCCGCTCCAAGTCTGTCCACATGATTTCATCTCTTCACATGACCTCCTCCAAGTCACCCTCACCATGAAGACCAACTCTCCACTTCCCTTTCGGGTTCCACTCGAGCGATGGCGTATGACCAATCCATCTCCACTTCTTCCTGCCTATGTGTTTCATAATCTGTTCCTGGTTGGTTCGCTCCCAGAGATCTTTGTTGCTGATCTTTTCTGGCCATCTGATCTTGAGTATTGAGCGAAGACAACTTAAATACCTTAAACTAATATTCAGAAATGCTTAAATTCAAACACTTAATCCCAAAAAGAAATTGATTATTGCTCAAATTAGTCACAAGAGAGACATTTATGTAGTCGCTACATAATTACTGTTGATATATAGTCTGTAGAATGTGATTTGTAAGCTATTCGACAAGATTATTTTGCTGCTCATTAGTGTATTTTCGTAATAGGTCGTGAATTTAGAATAATACTAAATCATACCTACTTATTGATAAACGTTTTTATGCGTATTGTTTGTAATCGGTAAATTTCTTTAGCTACTGAAATACAGTGGAATACAGTTTGGCACACATTAATACTTACTTGTTCTTTGTAAAGATAATCATTCTGAGCTTTTGTTGTTTTTTTGCTTTAGTTTGTGGGACGAGTTATTGATGCTTCTCATCGGTTCTGATTGGGATACAGATGAAGAGGAAGAGCTGATATGCGGGGCAGTATTTCAACCTCGTGCTCGAGGTCATAAAATGGCAGTTTGGCTGTCTAGTGATAATGAAGAGCGGACTATAATGCAAATTGGAAAGCGAATTAAAGAACGCTTAGAACTAGACGAGACAATATACTTTCAGCCTGTTTGTGACCAGAAAAACTATGCTAGAGGCAGAGATATACACACTGGAAAATATCAAACTTAATTTATTGCATTGCATTAGCATTGATTTTGTCATCTTTTCAAAATATTTCTGTTTTTGATATTTGCTCTTGGCGCTTGACTGTGGGGACAGATTCTGTGTACATGTTTCCTTCTTATTTTCTGTGTTCACTTGAACGTTTTGATCTTGTTAAAGTGAAGCATTTTAACAATACAGTACATTATTACTATTGAATTTATTTTTATTTTTAAACCTGTACTGTACAACAACAATGGTATGATATATCATTCTAGCCATTCATTGTTTCGTTTAAGTTGATGAATCTGTGTATTTATATGGATTTATCCTCACTTTCTTTGTCACTTTTACATTCTCCAATCATCCTGATGTTGAATTGTGTCAGCTTAGCCTGTGTATGCGGGTCACAATCGTAGACAATTCTGCGTCATAAGGTTACTGGTTAAATTTGCCTTTATATCGCTGATATATCGGATGATGTGTTCTCTTAAATGTGTTTTTCACACTGATTCTACTGTCTGTCACAGTTTAATTTCTCTTGCATGTAATATAACAGTCATATTGGATTATATTGTATGTTCTAATTAACAGCATTTATTCAATGGTGTGGAGAACTATAGAATCACACGAAAGTTTTGCTTATCAACAACAACAATTTTTGGTGTTGATTTTGTCATAAAACCGACATCAATTGAAAGCCAAGTAGTAAGGCACCTTGGTCATCTGCTTTGTGTCGTAATTCATAACATATCTGAAGTTGGTACAGGTTTGTGATGAGTCCTACTCCCAGGGGTTAATCTCAAATCTCTATAAACTGCCATGGTTTTTTCCTCTAGATTATTCGCCTACTGAAAAAGTCTGTTGTGTGTGTGTACAGTTTCAAGAAAGTTGGTTAAGAAAGTTTAAATTTCAGAATTTATCTAATAAAAAATATGGTTTCCAGCGAAATCATTCTCAAGCCTTACAGTCACACACACACACCCACATAATAGACTGTCATAGGTATAGTGATTGGTGAATATACTTCTTTTGCTCAATGCTGAAGATCAGATGGTGGGTCAGAAAGGATAAGCAACAGTGAACTATGACAGACAACCAGTCAAGGTCCAACAGATAGACAGAGGGAATTACAGATGAGTTGGACATTCACTGCAGTTATCTTCAAGTAATACCATACGCAAGGCGCTTGAGTGGAACGCGAATGAGAAGGGATGAATAGGGTGTCTGAGGACTGACGTGGTTGTCATTTCAGGAGGAAATGGAAGATTGTGGACACTCGTGCAGCCATCTGAATGTGATACGGAGATGTTCCATCGAGGAGGAGGAGGTGGTATGTACCACTATGAACACAAAGAATAAATGACAATAACAGGGTTGCGAACTGGGGCTTAGGTTCCCACTGTTGTTTCTTAAAATGTTTCAGTTGTAACGATAGTAGATCAGAGCCAGGTAACAGATCATTTATTGAGAAAATGAAGAGGTATTTATAAGGTTTTATGTGCATTATTATTAGCGTTATTGTTAGCGGAGAAACAGCCTCTTCTGATTGGTTGTTTTCGTGCTGAAGGTTATTCTGTACTGCTTGCGACAGTTTCTCAGAAAGTTAAGCCATATATCTGCGAATCGTATTTGCACATGTAAAGTCTGCTGTGATTGGTTGGTGGGTTCCTCAAGGTTAGGCTTTGTTATTGTTTTTCACATGACTCTGATTCGGGACGTGAACATCGACGTAAATTGTTGGTGACAATTTTGGCCATCAGACAGCTCTCACCACACAGTCATTAGAGTGAGACGGTTTGTTGGTATTCATTCGGAATAAAATTATAATAGTCTGAAATTTGGCAAAAGTAACATTTTGAAGTCAGACGATTTCCTCAAATCAGTAGTCTACAGTGTTGCATCAATGTCGGAGATTGTCAGCGGGTGATGATCTGGCAAGTTCCGAATGCTTATGGTGGTGTTTAGGTGGTTGTTACTTCCCCGCCGTACACATACAGTGGAGGTTGATTTCTTCTTGAGATACCTGAGATGGAAGGAGTGTTAGTGTTGTATGGCTGCAGAGTTCACGCGAGAGCTGCTTGAATAATAATAATAATAATAGTGAGTTTGTTTCAAATACTATTGTCGATTCAATTTGTAAATTCCAGCATATTATAGAGTATTCAATCTAATGTTCTGCTGATATAGTATGGTGAGGGGCAATACAAAATTAATAGTTATAACAAAACTTAAATGATGTTCACAATTATGAAAAAATAAACAAATAAAAACCAAAAAATTGAGAGGATTATAAATATGAGAAGTACAATAACAATAAAGCTTGATGTTGTATGGGTGGAGGAAATGGTTTATTTAATAGTGCAAAGAAGGTTAGTTAGTTAGTTGATGCCTAACACTATTTTCATCATCACATAAAGTACATGTGGCCAAATATGGTATAGTGAAATTTACAGTACTTAGACGTACGTGCATAAAGTCTTCTGAAAAGACTTCTTGTCTTACTTGAGGAGACACAAGGATGGAGCTGTGTGTGTGGTGAGGTGAATGCTCACAGTCTGACAAAATTCCTTTAGCAAATTTGTTGCATGAAATCAAGTGCCTATCAATGACGATGTCAATGATATGGCCCAACAGGATGTCACTCGCCCTACTGACAGTCAGTTTTCAGAGTTCTACGTAGTATGACATAGTCTTTTTTTAAGCAATCCAGGAAAGGATAATCGGGGGTGAACAGTAAAGAAGAATAGGTAAGATGCACGAGTTGACAAACTGTAAGATGAGGAGGGGTTGAGTTATGCTTGTGTGCCTTAACTTCTTAATGTAAAAAGTCAGGCGTAATATTCTTTTGGAAATCGCTTTGACATGGGAAGACCAGGATAGGTCAAAAGAAAGAAATAATCCAAGATACTTAACTTCAGACTTGATTTTTATATCACTATCATCAATTTTGCAAGGGACATAGGAACCAACAGCTTTTTTTTTTGCATCGGAAACTGAAATTAACAGTCTCACATTTGGAAGGGTTTATTTTAAGACCATTAGACGAAGACCATTTGCTAACTCCTGACAGTCACACGCTATTTGGATGCATTGTTGATGTTTAAAGTATATTGAGATGTATGAGAATGTCCAGAAAGTGAATATAAATCAACAATAATTTTGATGCATTTATTTTAAGTCCAAAATAGGATGTGTGCAATTTTGGTTACTAGGCGAATATAATTCAACTACCATTTCTATAAATTTAATGTGTCCTGAATTATTACATGTAGAAATATGTATGTAGTAACTAATCTACTTTTTTAAGTTGTCACTTCAATGATTTGTGGGAATTGTGCGTACTACGTCAGCATAAATGAAGTAAATTGACAAGGTCATGGCCAGTGGTATATAAGCACTGAAATATATACATAGCATATCCTGAATAACAGTGATTAATACGATTTATCACATAGACCGCAACACCACCAGGTCTACAATATTCATAAACTTATTCTAACCTTTTCATCGATAAGGCCTTTTTATGGTAACTGAAGCTCTTATTTACCCACTATTTTCTCAAATAACGCTGGTCATGCTTACAATGATACCTAGGTGCTGAATTGAGTCTTTTCGTTCTGAAATAACGCTAGTCCCAGCTTAATGTGTCCTGTGAGGGATGGAACAGAGCGGATAAGCAAACCCAGTCGGTTCCATTTACTTTCAATCATGAAAAGAAACCAGCTCTTAGTTTTAATCTCAAACAATGGCAGAACGGTTAGGCAGTTTACTTATTGAATAAGGTTACTATACTAGAAAAGTATACCTTATTTGGCTGAATCATTGCAGGTTCACCATAATCCTTGACTACCAACATAAAAACTGGGAACTTCAATATAAAAATCACCTTAATAGTAGTATCCAGTGTCATAAACTGATCTACACACTGCAAAATGTTAAAAACATGCAAAAAAACCTTTAAAATTCAATGGAAATCGAATTCACGAAAACATATAACTAGCAGACGCAGGAACCCATCATGACCATGACACTGACTGTAGCCTCTTTCGATAGAAAGCTGTTCATCTTAGTGCAGTCTAGCTGAGAGTTAACAGACATTGAAATTGTTAGGTATGTGGAGTCCTCAAAAATAAACTTATCCAAATTTTACTACTATGTAAGAAATGAACATATTGTACATCACTTTGTTTTAACCATAAACTCTGTACTTTGAACTTTACCTCGGGTTTTGAATAAATATATATAGTTCTGCCTTCGACTCTCCGTCTTCTCCACCATCTCAACTGCCGTCGATCAATTTTAATCACCTGCTTTCTATCTCAAATTTTTGCAGGAGCACCGTAGTTTCTTCCTACGTGCTTTGGTCGACCTCCGGCAACGTCAACATTGGAGAATTAGTATTGGAGCAGTCTTCCCTCAGCGCCTCCGGAGTCTATTACGTTTATTGTGGACTTTTGGATCTTTGTAAACCCAAGTAACGAAACTTTAATATATTCTTCCCGTAACTAAACTGATTTGGTACTTTATTTCCCATTGGAATTTGGGTAGCTAAGCTAACAGAGTAAAGGGTCCACCACAGGTACTTAACAAAGTTCATTTTGTCATCAGAGTGAGGTAAGTCATGCAAGAAGAAAGAAAACCGAAAAGGAAAAAGGACAGCGCCTTGAGGGACACCAGATTCAGAGCGCTGTCCTTTTTCCGATAAAACACAATTGGCTTAAAGTGGCTCTTTTTGAGTTGCGTCCGTAAGAGCATCTTACCACAGGGTAGGTCGGGATATGACACTTGGTATGTCGGGGTTGACATTTTTTAATCCGTCTTCCCGAAGTGGAGAGACTGCATAGTTGGCCTGCTTGTTATTTGAGGGAAACATCTTAGTGCTGTAACATCGATACTCACCGGTAGCACGACTTTACTGTCGGACTCCCAGAGATTTATACTATCATGGCAACTACTTCTAGTTTAGCCTCTATTCAAGCAACGTTTCAGACAGAGCAGGATCTACAGGAACATGCATCTCAGTC